TTGTCTTAATTATATAATTGTGTTTGCAATGTGGAAATAAAACTTGCAAAGAGGATTGTTGTTGTTTGGACATGAAGCCTTGAAGTGGTCCAAGACCTAGGCCACATTGACATTTGAACTTTACCTATCCTTGATTTTTGTTGGGCTCATGGTATAAACACCTTTTTCTTTAAAAAAAAATCTAAAATATCTCTAGTTTTTTTTTATTCTTTAATTTTTATTTTTATTTTTCACGTCCATCTTTCAATTTATTACTTTTTTTCTTCTTTTTCACACAATTTTTTTTTCTTTAATTTTCATATGCACTATCTTGTCTTTTTCTAATTCCCTACTTATTTCAATAGGTAGTTTTAGTTTTCTCGATTTTTACATTATTATCTTATTTTCTTACTTCTTTTACTTTTTACATGCACCTATACCATAAAATGGGTATACGATAACATTATAAGTACGTGCGACTTCCTCGACATTTTCTATCAAACTAGACACACATTTTCTCTTCCAACACTTCCTCTCATTTCACCCCTCTAAAAACCTTGACATTAAGTTTAGTGTTATGAAAAAAGATATTTTTATTATTCTAAAGTACCATACAAAATAGTGAAAATAGTGTTTTGCAAAGAATTTTTTGGGATTGTATTTTTTATATACTTTTAGAAAGTATTTTTTGGAACACAAAATTCTGGAAAGTACTTTTCAAAAATATGTAAAATAACACACTTTCAAAAAGTACTTTCCAAAGTACATTAATTTTACTATTCCAAAAAAGTAGTTTTCCATAACATTAACTTAGAACTGTCAAAGTGGGCTCCAGCCCGTGGGTCAACCCAACCCACCTTGAAAACGGGTCAAGTCGGGCCAAAAAAATGAAAAACTTATGATGGGTGAAAAAATGTGACCCGACCCACTTTCGACCCAGTCCACCCGGGTTGAACCGTGGCGGGCCGGGCTGCCCACCTGACCCACTTATCAACCCATCAACTTAACCCACTAACAACTCATTTAACTATTTATTATATATATATATATATATATATATATATATTATTTTAATAAGATATCATTTTTTTATAGATAAAGATAAAATTAATGTTAAACAATATGAAATTGCTATAAATTTATCTACCTAAACCTTCAATAAAATTTAATATTGATTAATAATCACTCTCATGAAAGGATTTTTATTTTTTTGTTTTGATTTTTTAAAATTGTACACTTTTTAATTTAAGTTTAATGTTGTATCCATGATACTTAATTTAATAATTTTTACCTTAGATTAAAGATTATTTTATATTAAAATTTATTTTAAATCATAATTTTTTTAAAAAAACTAAGTGGGTTGGTGGGCTGACCCGTTTAGTCCACCAACCCGTGGTGGTCGGGCCGGGCTAGAAAAATCTACACAATAAATTTGGTGGGTCAGGTCGGGTCGACCCACTTTAAAAGTGGGTTGAGGTGGGTCAAGTCAAACGGGTCAGGCTGACCCATTTTGACAGATATGCATTAACTTTACTGTTATGGAAAGTACTTTCCGAAAGTATGTTGTTTTACATATAACTTCAGAAAGTACTTTCCAAAACACTAAATTTACTGTTATAGAAAGAATTGTTTGGAATTATGTAAAATAACACACTTTTAAAAAAGTACTTTTTGAAATAGTGAAATTAATTTTTTGGAAAGTACTTTCTGAAAGTATGTTGTTTTACATAACTTTGGAAATTACTTTCTCAAATACTAAATTTACTATTCCAGAAAGAATTGTTTGGAATTATGTAAAATAACACACTTTCAGAAAGTACTTTTTAAAATAATAAAATTAATTTTTTGAAAAGCACTTTTCGAAAGTATGTTGTTTTACATTTTCAAAAAGTACTTTTTGAAACAGTGAAATTAATTTCTAGAAAGTATTTTTTGAAAGTATATTGTTTTACATAATTTTGAAAAATACTTTCCGGAACACTAAATATGGTGATCTAGAAAATACTTTCTGGAAGTATGTTAAAAAACCAATTTTGAAACATGTTTTCAGTAACAATAATTTTATTATTCCAAAAAGTACTTTTTGAAATACTAAAATTATTTGATGTGGTGTTTTCCAGACGTATAAATGGGAGAAGTGCTTGAATAAAAAATGCCTAATTGGCTCAATACTTTTGATACTATCGAGAAAGTCACACGTGCTTATAATATTGTCGAAAACTAATTATATGTTCTAAGTGTATGTGAAAACTAAAAGCGAGAAGAAAGAAAATAACAGTAAGAAAATTGAAAGAAAAGGGGGGAAGAAAGTAATGTAGAGATGAAAAAATTAAAATTATCTGGCAAAATAGGTGAGAATAAAAGAAAAGTAAGTAGATGCATGTCAAAATTGAAAGGAAGATGGAAGGTGTATGAAAAAATGCTAAATTAAATATTGGAGATGTAAAATTAAATTTAAAAATTATAAAAAATAAGAATATTTTAAATTTTAATTATTTGAAAAAAAAACGGTGTACTTATTAAAAAAAATGTATATATGATGAGCGTTTTCGCTCACAGGGTTGCTTGTTTCATTTATTTGGATTTGTCGATTTTGAACTCGTGATCATAAACATGACACCCCTCAACTATGGACTTTGATGGGATAGCCAGTAGCCACATTAAGTAGCTGCGTTTATTTATTTATTTTTCATTCAAAATGGTAGTTGCGTGTTTAGCGACCCCTTTTTTACGAAAGAAAAACAAAAAGTAACAAATAAGATGAATAGAAATAAATAAAATACATGAGAAATATAATATAATAAAATAAAAGTATTTGATTTAAGAGAAATAGAGATTAAATGAAAAATAGAATGAAAATTTCGTACTCTTTTTGTTTCCTTCTTTCATTCTACGACCAAACCTAATTACTTTTTTTTTTCTTCACGTATTTGTTTTTCTCTGTCTATCCTATTTATTCTCTATCAAATAAAGGGTAAAAGGGTAAAAGAGAAGTTGACACAATCGTTTTTAAATAAAAATTGATTTTTATAAAATTAGTTTTGATTAAATTTGATTTCGAAATGATGGAATTGTGATTTATATTTGAATGTTTCAATATAAAAGTAAATAATTATAAATTTCAGAATAATTTTTTAACGTAAAATCAAATATGTGAAAATTGGTGATAGACATCAAGTAAATGATCTGTAACTAAAAATTTCTGAAGTTAACAGTTGAATTTAAATTTGAATAAGTTCGTCCATTAATTTAAACTTCTATAAAAAAATGTAAAAATTAATCTAAAATAACATTCACTCATATTTCAATGTAATTCTAAAAAATCTAATATCATAGTCCAAAAATCAGTTAGTGTATATTTAAAATCAAATTTAGAATTCATACTAACGAAAATAATAAAGAGTTATTTTTTTTTTATTAATTGATGTGATTTTTATTTGAATATGTATCCTGACATACATCCAACTTAAATTTTAGTCTGTGTTGATTTTATACTGAAATTTTTAGAATAACGTAAATTTGAGTAATTTTTACTTGTTTAGTTTTACGTTGATGAATTAATTTTATAACTAAAATTGGTTTTAATTGAAGCAATTTTAAGTAGTTTTTGCATAGAATATATATGTTTTTAATAATTTTAATCCGTAGTTATTTTACAATATTCATCCGAAGAATCCAAACAAGTAGAAGAACCGAAGAAAATGTTAATTCAGGCCCATGTCGTAGAAAGCTGAAACTGGAGACAGACATACTGCAGATAGAAGAACCAAAGAAATAGGGCTGATGATATATACACCTCCATTTTTTTATACATACACCTTCTTTTAAAAAAAAAAATATTAAATTTCTAAATTATTCTTAATATTATTTGGAATAAAAAAAAATTATCCTGGAAAGTTTTTTTTGGAGGTGTATTTGTACATAATTATGGAAAGTACTTTCCGGAATACTAATATTATTATTCCGGAAAGAACTTTTCGCCGGAATAATTCCGGAAAGTACTTTTCGGAATACTAAAATTACTATTCCGGAAATAACTTTCCGTCGGAATAATTCTAGAAAGTACTTTCCGTAACACTAAAATTATTATTGCGGAAAGTTCTTTCCGGAATTATGGTAACAAATACACACGGTTAATATTCCGGAAAGAATTTTCTACAATAGTAATTCTAGTGTTACGGAAAGTATTTTCCATAATTATTTCGACGGAAAGTTATTTTCGGAATAGTAATTTTAGTATTCCGGAAAGTACTTTCCGTAATTATTCTGACGGAAAGTTCTTTTCGGAAGGCTCATGATATATACACCTCCTGTTTTTTTTTATAAGTACACCTTCTTTATTTTTTTTAAAAAATTTATAAAATATTATATATATATTTTTTAATTTTATACCTTTAACTTTCAATTTTCTACTTTTTTCTTTTTTTTCACACACTTTTTTTTTTCTTTCAATTTTTACATGCTACCAAAATAGGTGGAGTGAAGGAAAGATAATGGGGTGCATGTAAAAATTGGAAGAAAAAAAAATCTGTAAAAAAAAAGTACTAAATTAAATGTTGTGAATGTAAAATTAAAAAAAAAAGCAAAAATTTAAGAATATTTTAAAATTTTAATTATTTTTTTTTGAAAAGGAGTTGTACTTATAGGAAAAAAGAGGTGTACTTATAGGAAAAATGAGGTGTATATATCATCAACTTTTGAAAAACACTTTCCAGAATAATTTTTTTTATTCAAATAATATTAATAATAATTGAGGAATTTAATATTTTTTTTTAAAAAGGGGGTGTATGTATAAAAAAATGGAGGTGTATATATCATCAACCAAGAAATAGTTATGTAGGCCTATGTCGTGATGGTGTTTTAATATGGGCTTCCCTTTAAGTTGATTGTAAAAGGGGCCCAAAATGAAAGTTGGGTTGGGCCGATGTAGTTACTATATTCGGCCATGTGTGAGTAGTTGAGCATATTCTAGAAACTAAAATGGATTGAGCGCAAGGAAGGTACTAGAAGTCCAGAAGTGTCGTTCAACAAACGTATCTTATGGCATATAAATACTTTGTTCAAAAGCCATAGTTGAAGGAGGGTCACTTTGGGGTTTCTCTCGCTAACTAGGGTTTTACAAGACAACCTCTCTCTCTTCGCTTTTCCTCAATCCAACCCTTTCCAAATCAAATATGAGGTACAAACTGTGAACTCTGCATCTTCCTTTTCTGGTTAATGCTTATACGTTGTTAACCTCTGCTTATTATCGCGGTTTTTTTCCCTCTATCTTATCGACAATTTTTTTTTTCTTTCTGGAACTGTTTTCTTCATGCCACTCTTCTTTTGTAACTTGGGCTTGTAATCGGCCAAATTGTTTGTTTCTCTAGCTACCGATTTGCGATCCTGAAGAATGCAGAGTCCTTCCTATTTTTTACCTACATCGCGAACATTTTTTTTTTGAAATTTTTGTGAAATATGATAGTTAACCTAGAAATGAATTATTTTGGGGGCATTTTGTAACTCTAGTGTCGATTGAAAATAACTTCTAGAGATAGGTAAAATAGGGGTAGGAGGCAGATTTTGTTGCCAAAATTTATTTGGGGAATTGGGGGTCCGATGCTTAATTATTAGATTTTGTTGGATAATGTGACAAATTTGCATTTCCACTAAATTTTTCTATCGTTTCATTTTTTCCTTCTTCGTGCCTCCCCCTTCCCTTTTTTTTTTTCGTGGCTGGTGATTTGTGACTCTGTTCGATATTATGTAATGTCAGGGATACGAGTTTTCCGTGGGTCGACTGTTTTCCCGTTTAATATTCCTTGCCTGTAATGCATTTCTGAGTCTTCTTTAATTGTTCCACGTCATCTGTTTATAAATGCATTTTGCGATGCAGTCTTCACCCTGAGGTTAAGTGGGCTCAGAGAGTTGACAAGGTTTATATCACGGTGCAATTAGCCGATTCCAAAAATGCAAAAGTGGATCTTACGCCAGAGGGTGTTTTTACCTTCTCTGGCAGTGCTGGTGCTGCAGACCGTCAGTATGAGCTTAAACTGGAGCTCTTTGACAAGGTTAACGTAGAGGTGAGAAGATGTTCCCAAGCATGACATCTTTAATAATGCTTACTTTCACTTTTTTCCTGTGAATTGTACAATGATTTGTTCTGATAGCTTAAATGCTTTATATGCATTTTTTTTTATGCAATTGTGTATGTGTTTGTGTCATGCTTCACTTGCAAATTTTTTATTATATTTGATTTATTTTTTTAATGCATTTCCTTCACCGTTCTCTTTCAGGAGAGCAAAATTAATGTAGGAGTGCGAAGCATATTCTGTGTAGTGCAGAAGGCAGAGAATGGATGGTGGAAAAGGTTACTGCGTGCAGAAGGCAAGCCTCCACATTACGTGAAAGTAGATTGGGATAAATGGGTGGATGAGGATGAAGATGATGGTAACGGTATGCATGACTTCTAATTAAAACTTTTAATGTGTTATATAATGCATAAATGCATTATAATTCTAATTTTACGCAGTCTAATTAAATTGCCTTTTTTTTTTGTTAATTTAGGTGAACTGGACTTGGGAGGGATGGATTTCTCGGTATCCATCGTGTTCATTTGATTCTCTGTTTAAAACTCTTATCGAATTATATTATTTTATCCCTACTATTTTCTTATGCAGAAATTTGGCGGGATGGGTGCTGATGCAATGGGAGGAATGGGAGGAATGGACTTCTCTGTATGTAATTTGCTCACTTGATTTACTATTCTTTTATTACTGTTACATGTCTTGATTACTTTTTGGATGATGCAGAAATTTGGCGGAATGGGTGGTGATGATGCAATGGATGACATTGATGAGAGCGATGATGAAGGTATGTGTGTGCTGTTTTGTGGTTGACACTTTTTTTTTTTTCATGGTACTTGACAATAATTAAACATGCATTTTTTCTTGAATTAGGGATTAAGTAAGTTGTGCTGAATGGTAATATGCCTATATGTGCATGTTCCTTGGTTAACTATTTTAGGAAATAGGAACACTAGGAAAACTGAGTTACAGTTTTTGCAAATTCTGGCATTAAAGGTAGCTGTAGGGTTATTAAATGTTAAATGATTCTTGTTGGAGTTAAGGATTCTTGTTTCCGTTAATTATATGGGTTTTGATGGGTGTGTATGGTGGTGGAGTTGGGAGGAGAGTGTTGATTTAGTAGGGCAGCAGATTAGAACTATGATGGAGAATTGAAGATGATTGTGAAGTGTCGGTTCTTTGTGATTGAAACGTGCAGTTCTATGGTATAAACTTAATTTTGTAAGGGCATCTTTGCGTTGGTTCTTAGCTTATAAGTGATGAAACTAACAGTTTAAGTTGATTGATTAGCCTCGTGTATGGTTGGAACCCGGCAAGTATGGAATTGATAATTTATCACTTAATTGGAGGCACTTCTGATAGTGAAGTTTATCAGAACTTGAAATTTGAATCTGTAAACAAAACTATTTCGAAGGATCAAAATGTATATGTAAATACAAAGGAGATTTTATATCCTCCTAATTTCAGAAAGTATTGCCTTTTGTTTTCAAGATATGATATTAAATGCATTGACTAGAATCGGTGGAAATAGAAACCCTTAACTCCAACAAAGTTGACAACGTTTAATATGTACTGCATAATTTATTGCATGCTTCAAGGGTATTGTAATTTGGACAAGGGGAACAAGATTATTTATCTCGAAAAGAAAGGAATTATCTTGAATTCTTCTTGGTGTTATCTTCAATGTGCTGCAGCTCGGTTATTTGCTTACCTTATTTTCCCGCATTTTTTTTCTTCATAATTTGATGTTTGCTACAATGTTGAATCTGGCTTATCTGTGTGGTTATAATTCATTTCAATGAATAAAATGAGAATGAAGTTTTACATATGGTGTTAGAAAGATATCTTGCGGTTACAATATCCTTAATATATTTCGTATAGATTTCTGGACCATTGTTGTTTAATTCAAGGATTTATTTACTCTGCTGACTGAAATATACTTGTTTGCCATCTCTGCAGAGCAAGAAGTGTCAAAGCCTGTAGAACAAGAGGCTGGCGAGGCATCTACAGAGAAAAAAGAGGCTGCTCCGAGCACATAATGCCCTTGCAGTTCAGGACGCTGCCATAGATGCTTATGAAAATTCTCGAGTGAAATTTTCTTTCTGTACCATTGATTGGTAGTTGTTTTAAGCGGAGACGTTCATGTGTCTCTCTGTGTTGGCTAAACATTTAGCAGTTATAATTTACCAGAAAAAAGCTCCTTCTAGTTGAATTAGGATATTGTATAATTTGAGGATATTTATTTTCATGCATGAATGGCGGTATCTGGATTTCTATATTTTTATATTGCATGTCTTTGAACCTGCTTAGATGATTGATCCGGTATTCTATAACTGGATAGTGAAAATTCGAAATTACCATGTAATTGTAGCTCACACGAGTGTGTTTGCAGTTGCGACAAGTTTCAAACTAACATTTGTTCAAATTATGACTTGAAGATTGTTTACTGAAATTCAAACTTTTGACTTGTGTTCGATTATAGCATACTAGAGACAATTTTTTAAAGCTTTCTTAAAATGCTTTACTACAGAAGATGATTTACGTTTTTTAGATAAATTAAAATTTACAAGCTCTAGAACTGGAGTTAAAGGTTGACATAGTAACTCGTCACCAATACACTGTTTTAAACACAGGGTGAGCATGGTAAGAGAAAAGCGTTTTTATAAGATGTCCGACATCAAATAATGTGTTTTGAACTACGTTATTCTTTATATGATAAACTAAATATGAAGAACTAAAGCATTCGAATTTAGACTCGTAAAAAATCTAATATTTTATGTATACCAAATGCCCCTTGAGTCCCATTATTAAGGTAAACTATTTTCGTTTAAGTTCTTCAAAAAACTAAGAAAAAAAGAATATGATCACTCAAAATACCTTATTTTATTGTTACAATAAGTTTATCTTATATATGATATTATGATATGCTTTGTAAGATCTTATATATTAAATAAAACATGGGCTTCTTCTCCATTTCAGAAAAATTAAGAAAAACCTGTGATTATTTTAATAATGGTATTAGGTACAACTTTCTCTAAGAAAACTAACTTAAAAAACATTCTTGCACCTCAATTTTATTATATTCCATATGAATTCTACAAACTAAGGGAATTTTATGAATTCATATTAATAGACACATATTTAATATTATAAAAATCCAAAAGGTCAATGAAAATTATTATAGATGTTCTTTCTTGTCGAAATTGGAGTCGATACTTTTATCAACTTAAGACTTTTTTTAGGACAAAATTATCTTTTAATTATATTTACTATGATTATATAGAGAAAACCCTTGGAGTCAAATTTGTAAATAGTTCTTAAATTTATGTGACATTATATGATTCACAAAATTAAGATAAACAACTCCCCTAAAATAATTAATTATGGAAGATGCTCTTATATTTAAAATTGGAGAAAGTATGTTATAATAGCATGACTTAATGAGATTGGTTGATAAAATTATATCTATTATTTGGTTAAATCAATACGCATTGAATTTTAGAATTTTTTTTATATTTGTTTGATAAAGAATGATGAGCAGGTAAAAATGAAAATCAACGTAAAAAGTAAAAATTAATCAATATTCTTGGAAAAAAAAATGCTTGTCTTAACTTCTACCAATCTAAAAGAAAAGTGATAACTGATAAGACATGCAATTTAAAATTATCTCAAACTCCCAACAATTCTCAAGCAAAAGTGATAATTTCTTTCGACCAAATTATTTCAGTTTTCTTACATCTTTATAAGTTTTTTTTTGCTTAATTGTAATTTTTTTTTGTACTTGTGAAGTTAATTATAATTGTATAATTTAATCTCTAGAATTTTAATTAATTAATTTTAATCAATTAAGTATCACAATATCACGATTTTGATACTCCAAAATTTAATTAAATTTATCAATGAATTTAATTTGATATTATCAATTTTTTCTACCAAAAATATGATTCATACAGTGTTTCAAAATTAACAATCAAGAATTAATTTATACTGATAAAATAATTATTATTAAATTTTGATATACTCTTTAAAATTTTACGATAATCTTAATTAAACATCATAATATTTATTTATACTATTAAAACTATTTTAAAGTCATAATTCCACACACCTCTTTTAAAAGTTAACTTCCTTTTACTTTAATTTTTTTTTTCTCCTCCTATGTCCATATTCCACTACACTAAATAAAGGCTCAATCTTTCGATCTGTGATTGAAATTCTCTTTTTTTTTAATTCCCTCTTTTAAATGGATAAATATTTTAAAGAGTTGATAAATTTTATATTTTACTAATCAGCATTTATCTCTGTTGATTAAACAATAAACAAAAATGAAAATTTAAGCTCTTAATTTTGGACATGAAAAATGAAATCCCCAGTGCATTCTAATTTAATTAAATTAAAAAAAAACGCGAAAATATATAACATATTTTATTTGTGTGGGTGGAAATAATTAAGTGGACCTGAAAGCCTTATAACTAAAACCCTGGTTGTTATGAGGCACGCGACGCTCTCCTTCTAACCTACAGTGCGGCCATGGATGTCGAGGAGCAACCTTCGCCCAACCCCACTAACGTTAAATGCTTCGGCCTCAAAAATTCGATTCAAACTAACTTCGGTGATGACTATGTTTTCCAAATTGTCCCAAAGTACGTGCTTTCTTTTAGTTCCCCGTTGAAGCTATGAATTCATGCTTAAACTCGATTGAAAATAGTAAAGTTTTATTTTTTGTTCTTACACGTGACTTGGGTTCCAATTATTTTTGTGAATTAAAGGGATGATTGGAGTGCAATGGCGGTGTCACTGTCAACGAACGCGGTGAAACTGTATTCGCCTGTGGCGGGTCAATATTATGGAGAGTGCAAGGGTCACTCTGCAACCATCAATCAGATTTCTTTTTCGGGTCCTTCAAATCCCCATGTTTTGTGTTCGTGTTCTTCTGATGGCACTATTAGAGCTTGGGACACACGGACATTTCAGCAGGTAGATTTTTTTAATATTATTTTTATTGTTTAATTATAAGTCTTTTTTTTTTTTTTTTAGTGTATGAGTAATTTGATGCTTGAGTGTGTTGGATTGAATGTCGAATTGTAGGTTTCTTCCATCATTGCTGGTTCTTCTCAGGAGGTTTTCAGCTTCTGTCTTGGAGGGACTAGTGGAAATTTAGTTGCCGCCGGGTGTAAATCGCAGGTTTGCTTTTGGTTGTGGTGATTTATGTGATTCATGATTTGAACTAGTTTTATGTAAGCTATGTCCTCAAGTATATGATTTTCCTCAGATACTGTTCTGGGATTGGAGAAATATGAAGCAAATTGCATGCCTGGAGGACTCTCATGTTGATGATGTCACTCAGGTTTGTGCTGTTTGAATTTCTTGAATTACGTGTAATGGCAATTTATATTTTAATCAAAAACTTTGATTTAATGGAACTAGCTGAAAATAATAATCCTGTGGGGAAAGGTTGTTTTGCTTGGTGATGCCCTCCCAGAAGAATTTTGTCATGAGAAATGCAGTATAACTAATTCAATATCTTTTAGAAATTGTAGGATAATTAACACTGGCAATAAATGAGCTTCAGAGTATTTCTCTAAGAAAAAACTGTGGGAATGTTGCTAGATTTGAAGAATTAATGGAGGATGTTACTTACAGATTTATGAAACAGTATAATTGATTCTTCATTTTCTTGGTTGAACATTGTTAGTTAGTCAGACTGATTGGAATTTTTGTTGTTCAACCAGTAGCCATTTTCTTTACTTCAACATTACTCGATCAATATGAAGACCTCACATATTTTATGGCTTGATGGCTTCTCTTAGAACTTGTTTCTTTACCAGTTACCCCCGTCCTCCTAGACCCTACTTCACCATAATCAATGTATTTATATTTCTGGTTCAGTGTAACCTGTCATAGAACAAGGAAAGGAAAATGTGTTACATTCACAAAGTATGCTGTACATAAGATGAAGAAGACAATATCAATCCTTTAAACCTTTAACATGTACTATACTAGCTTTTATTCTTTTAGTGAATAAAATGAAATTATTTAATTATTCAATGTGAGGATGGATTTATGTCTGATTTGTTGAAAATGTTCGATTGATGCTAGGTTCATTTTGTCCCTAATGACCAAGGCAAGCTTATTTCTGCTTCAGAAGATGGGTTGATCTGTACATTTGATACTGCCGGAGATATCAATGATGATGATCATCTAGAATCAGTAAGTTTGGGACTTCAATTCAGTTTCCATCAGTTGATAATTCTTGCAAGTTGCAACCATCTTGATTGTTACGATATTAAAGGTAGCTAAGCACTCATTGGGATTGGATTGTATTTTTAGGTCTCCTCGGTTCTCTGCTATTGGGTATTTCTAGAGAATGCCTATTCCAACTTATATTTCTTTTCGTGCAACTTATTCTTTGTTTTGAAGGATTTCTTATCTTCCCTCCTCAGATAGATAAATATCTTTGTCTCTCTGATGGATCCATCTTTCTATCTATTGCATGAAGGATGTTTTATCTTTGAGTTATTTTTTTTTGCTTGAGCTACAGTATTTTTCTCATACAAAATTATAAATTTTGTTTACAAAAATGTAGGTGATTAATATGGGGACTTCAATTGCAAAGGTGGGGATTTTTGGAGAGAATTACCAGAAGCTTTGGTGTTTAACACATATTGAAACCCTGGGGTACAGTTATCCTCCATTAGTTTTTGTTTTTTTATTGTTATTAAATCGTAGCAGTTATACATAGCTTACTCATACTGTATTTCTGCCTGATATGGTTGTATGTCACACATTCAATGTAGTTATTGTTGCTGAAGGTAAATTCATACACAAACAATCATCATATTGACATAACTGTCATGATCAGAGTAGTGCGCATTCAGATAGTACTTCTACTATACTGATTATGCTATCAATTACACTCTTATGCTCCTAGTGTGGGTTATATGACTTTGCATATGTTTACTATTTCCTTGTTTTCAAAGTTTTATGTTAATATTTAATTCTATTCTGCTGTCTAGTATCTGGAACTGGAAAGATGGTAGAAATGAAGGAAACTTCTCAGATGCTCGTACTTTAGCTTCAGAAAGTTGGAATTTGGATCACGTGAGTTCCTCCTAATTTGATGGAATATGCTTTTTTTGCTGAACTGGAAAAACACTGCTTTTATAGCAACATGCTTCATAGTTCTTGTCTCAATAAAAATAAAGATGAATTTATGTGTAGGCTTCGTATGTGGACGACATTAATCTTCTGGAACATTCCTTTAAAGAGGCTTTGCTTCTTGTACTTTTGAGCCATGTAGAGTCTTTATAATTGGAATGACAGCACAGCTTCGAGGAAAAATTCTGTAAAAGGAATAGTTTGCATTTATATATATACATATCTCTAGATTTCGTGCTATGGACAAAAATGCATGACATTGGCTGAGCAAGCTGAATAGATGATCTTCCAAAACTTTTATAATGCTTCAATTGTCCAATGTACAAATGTTATATCACTGTCACATAAATTGATAGTTTCCTTTGGCAGGTTGACTATTTCATTGATTGTCAATACTCCAGAGAAGCTGATAAACTATGGGTGATTGGTGGCACTAATGCTGGTACTATGGGCTACTTCCCTGTAAATTACGAAGGAGTGGCAACAATTGGAGCTGCAGAAGCAATTCTTGAAGGTGGCCATACAAGTGTTATTAGGAGTATTTTACCCATGTCAAAATTTCATAGTGGGCCAACTAATAGTCCTAGCCAAGGCATTTTTGGATGGACGGGTGGGGAAGATGGTCGGTTATGTTGTTGGCTCTCTGATGATTCCTCTGAATCAAATCAATCTTGGATTTCAAGCACATTGGTTATGAAGCCAGAAAGAACTCGCAAGAAAAATCGTCATCACCCCTATTAGCAAATAGCATGCAGAGCCATTAACTTCATTAGTTCAATGACGAAGGAGCTTTTTTTTTGTTTTATTTGCCAATAGTTTAATTTTTCACCACAACATGGGTCGAGGTGTTGGATTTTGATAAACATTATTTGTTTGTAGTCAGATATGTCCTCACCACTTGTAATATTTGTACGTGGCCATTTTTATATAGCTCTTTTTTGTTTTTACTAAAATATACAGAACACTTGATTTGTTTTGTAATATTGTATCTGTGTGTAGTGTCGTTTTTATATGATGGCATTCTAGGTTACCAGTAACTTGATTCTCATTTACTAGATTCCTCTGACGATTATGTACTCTATACAATCATTTACGGAAAAATCATCAGATTTTATTTGGAAAAGTTGATGACATTTTGGACATTGGCACTTTATCCCTCAAGTATGGATTTAACTCCATACTCGGTAGTTAGCGGCAAATTCACCCAAAAAAAAAAAAATCGGAAAAACGAAACGCATGGTCAACTTTGCCAAATACAGGTAGTGTAATACTTGGGTGCTAAATATTCGACACGAGGAATTTAAAAAAAAAATCGACTCTTATTGCCTTTGTCATTACTAGAACAGTAAAACATAAGTTCAAGTTAAAACTCTCAAACGTTTCATGTACAATTGTCAAAGTAACGTATCTAAATATACCAAGGTTGAGAATTCAACATATTGCTACATCATTACTTCTCATTGGAGGGAAAGATAGACAAAGGCACGTTTGCCGTTGGGAAGGAATTAAAAGATGGAAGCAGAGAAGCTTTTCGAGAGTAATATAATAGCACTAACATTTTTGTAATCATAATAAACACAAGAAAAACATTGGAAGATAAAAATTCAAGGATGCACAGAAACACGGGCAGTGAAATTGCTACCAATACACATTAAGAACGAACACAAATGCTTCTGAAAGTAGTCAACTAGCCCATTTGAAGCAGTTCATGCCACTGGTTTGAATCAGCCTCTACCTCGCCCTGTATGTACCAAAAAAAAGTAAATACACTGGACAATATTCATACGCTGAATTTAACTTTAAGCTACTTTTTTTACAAAAAAAAAAAAAAGGCATATACAAAACACAAATTTTACATTAAAACCAACCAATTAAAGAATCAGTAATGTGTTCATCGAATAACTATATACTTATTTATACACTGGGAACTCATCTAAACTATGTGAAAATGAAGCAAAATAGCTAGACAGTGAAATTCTTCAAACTCTGGCAAGGTGAAATAGAGCGATAGAAGGCTATAAATGATTATGAAGGGGTAATGCATGGAATGAGTGGATTTATATTTACCTCTGCCTCCACCAGGCTTTCCACCCGGGCCACCCCTGCCTCGGCCTCCTCCAGCTCCCTTAGCACCACCATCATCAAGACCACGCCCAATTCCTTTTGGTCCTCGTCCTCCAGGACCTTCCTCTCTGCCTCTTCCCCTTCCACGCCCCACACCAGGTGGTTTGCGATCTGAAAAAAGGTGATATTAATCAGAGAATGTCTAGTTTTTCCAGCAACTGGAAGCAGCATGAATAGCTGTTCATAATACAAAGCTAAATTAACATTTCATATAAGCAATATTAAGTTATTATTCACCAATATAAGATGATATATATTTTTATTATAATGAGCATTGCAATCTCCCATTTCCCCCCTTATAAGATCACCTAGTTTAACTCACACGAAACTGAACGACCAACTATCAGATTGATCAGGGGAAGTTAGCTGGGTTCATTAGGCAGAGTTCAAAACACCAAAGAGATCTGTTTCAATATACCTACGAATGATTTGGAACCTATGTCGTTATGGCCTGACACCACATATCAACCGAAACTCTTAAGAGAATTAGGTTTGTGGTCCTTCCATTTTATATGGTCCTTACCTTATGCATTTCAATACAATGTAGAACTTTTAAACTGACATCCACATTATACATACACTTAAAACTCAAACCAACAAGAAGCCAAAACAATGGTTACCTGCACGGGTCTTGGTTTCTTCCTGAACTTTGTCAATTACCTAAAATAATTGGCAAATGGCAATAAAGCAAGATTAGTAGAATAAAATAAATTGATGTCCATCTCAAACATCACTCAACAAACTCTCAATTCTATTCACCGAAACGATATTGCCCAATGATGAGACTTTTTTCTATGACCAACAGATCACAAGACAACAACTCTACTATTGTGCCAAGGCTCACCTTCTTCACAACCCATTTACCAAAAGTTTCTTCTTTTCTTTTTTGAAATAAAAAATAAAATGTTACCACCACTACACAGTGTACACACCTCATCAGGAACTCGAAGGTACTTGATTGTATTGCCTCGTATGTAGCACTCAGGCATCCTCCAAAACCTATCTCCGTCCTACATTACAATCAATCTTCATCAGCAATCATGCAGCCAACAAAAGACAAGGGATCGTAAAAAGAAGATTACTTTAGAGGTACAGATGACTTCTCGGAGATGGATGTTCATCCATGTATCGCAATTAACCAAATGCCCGTTATAAGTCTCCCCATTTTTCAGTTCCACCAACTGTTCCATCACCATCAAGATAATATTAATAACAAAATCAAGCAGAAGGAAATAAAAAGGTGAAGAGAGTTACCATAGGGTGGCCTTGGGCAGTCTTGAGAAGGGAGAGAGGAAGCTGCAAGCAAGAGTAAACTGAGAATGAGGGCAAAAGCGTAAAATCAAGAGAGTGTAGCCTAAGGTTAACGGTAACCCTAGAGCTTCGAATTCAATGATGAGTTGGGGGAAGTTGAATCCCAATGAGCACTAAGGTTAGCGTTTGAAAAAAAGGAGAGGTACTTACCATGTCGTTGATGCAGAGCGTTTCAAAGAAGAAGCCAAGGCGGAAGAGAAGGAAACGTGTCTCTATGATTGCTCTCTTTATAGCCTTCAATTCAACTCAACTGTTTATACAAAACAAATGTTCAATCTTCTTCTCCAAGGGTTTACGAACGCCTCTAGGCTCTAGCCACTAAAGGAATTGCTGCCAAAGTAACAATATTAGGGTTTAAAAATATTTATAAAACTTTATTTTAAAATTTATGTTAATAAGTTTATGACTAAATTGTATTGCGGTCCTTTATTATATTCTATTTCTAATTTTGATTTGTCAATTTTTTATTTTATAACTTTAGTCTCGAATTTTATTAAATCTATAATTTTAATTTTATTATTAAATATTAAAATTATAACAGTGATTATGAATTATTATTAAATAGATATTATGATAAATAATATTTATGTTAATTTATAATTTTATTCTCTATTTTTTATTTTTTTTATATCCTTTTTATAAGTAAAAATAAAATAAAAAGTGTAATTTATTTTAAATATTAATTATTATATCATGTATTTAATATTACTTCATGTTTAATATTACAATTTTAATGGTCAAGGAATAAGTATTTAGTAATAGAATCAAAATTGTGAATTTCATAAAATTGAGGGACTAAAATTATGAAAGTAAAATGTATAGAACCAAAATTATAAATTAGATATTATAAAAGATCAAATGTACAAATTAACTTAAATTTTATTTTTTCTTTTATTATACAATGATCACATTATATAAAGATAACATTTATTCTATCTCTTTATTACCAATAATTTGGATCTGCTTTATCTTTTAGTATATTAATCTTATATTATTAAAATAACTTATCTTGGATGCAAATTATCTTTTGTTTTATTTATCATTATATTTTTTTAACACATGAATGTGTGATAATTGATAACTATATATCGAATTAACATGTTGGGTTTTAAATATGGATAAATAGGTTGTAAATATATATACATCAATATTAGATCATCGATAGACTCAAATATAATCAATCTTAGGCTTAAGAGGGTCCATGACCTTCCAACCTCAAGCGCATAAGCGCAAAGAGAGTTGAGGAAAGAGTAATCAGATTGATTGAAAATATTCTATCAAATTTAAGCTTAAGAAGGTCCACAACCCTCTAGCATCAAGCATGTAAGCACGAAAAGATTTGGTTAAAGTTAACCACAAATATTGAAAATGAGCTATCAACTTTAAGTCTATGAGGAGGCAAAAATAAATAACACGACTATTCTAGTATATGACTTTATGGTCCAACTGCAAAAGCATAGATGTAAACACTTGGAATAACATATATTTTGACTACACTCACATCGTTCGATAAGTCACTGAAGTTTTGCTAGATTGAAAGAAGGTTAAGCAAAAACTTGATGTCCCTGTACCCTTCTTCCAAACAACAAATCTAAACAAAATGGTCTCTCTCCTCCTGATGATACCTTAAAGTGTAATATTGATGCAACATTTTTCTCTAACCAAAACAACTCTAGTGTTGGTATGTATCAGAGACATGCAAGTGACCAATTTGTAAATGCATTGATAGACCACAAAACATAATTGTCTAGTGTATGAGAGAGTGAAGCTACTAGCCTTTTTACAACAGTTAATTGGGAAAGAATACCTATCTATTTTCCTCGAATTTGATTGCAATCAAGTAGTGAACGAAATTCACGATCCTTTCTTAAATCTCACAAAATTTGAAATTATTAATGTCTCATTGTCAAAGCCTTCTTAAATTGTTACATTGTCAAGTTGACTTTGTTAAAAGACAAGAAAATTTAGTAGTTTAGAGCTTTTAAAAATCTATTTTGCCTCACTCTATTCAACATGTAATATCTTGTGTTGTTGAACTTTTCTTTTTTTCCTTGAAATAATGAGTTTGTTGTTATAAAAAAATATCATAAGTACTAAAAAAACATAAAAAAAATGTTTTTGAGATTTTTTTTAGAATTTATGATTAAAAACCTTATTTTTTTTCTATCTAACTTATATTTTACATTTTATTTCTAATAATTATTTTAAATATAAAGCAGACCATCATATATTTCATATCTTTTTCGTAATTTTTACAACAAAAAAATTTAAACAATACAATTGAAGTAAGTTATCCTAAAAGTATTTATTTAAATATAATTTTTGAAAATAATTATATTAATTATTAAAATATTTTTTCCTCTTAGTCTATAAGCACAACACATCTCTATACGGAAATCCTCTATATGTGCTAAGTGAGCCCATTAACTTCAGTAGCTGATTTCATTAGATTATTGCCCCCCTTCATAGCTCGTGATTAAGCTAAGGACATGCACCCGCAAAAAATAGTATTTGAATTCCTTAGTAATAATTAAGAGGTTAGAAAAGCCTTGTCAAAATAAATAAATAAATAAATAAATAAATAAAAAAAAT